TGCGGTGAAGAGAAATCTTCCGGTATCACATTCCGCCAGAACATGAGTGTGGAGCTTACCACACTGTTAAAACTGATACCTGCTCAATTATACTTTGAAAATTATAGGCTAAAATAACTAACTGAAACTGGAACATAAAAAAATTCTTATATTGTCCGTATTCTTGATAATGGTAAGTCGAATTACTGTGTCTATACCTACTTCAGAATCAGTATCAAATATAACATGTAATAACCATATAAATAATAAAGCGTTAACAGAAAGAAAAAAAGTTTTCATCATCTTTGGTTTGTTATTCGTTCTCTCTCATGTTTCTCCAACATTAATGTATTTAATTGTGTTTTAAAGGTGTATTCCAACGTTATTTTACAGTATATATTTGTATTGAAATAATTATTCCAACGCTAGTATATTTACTAATATATTTAATTATGTTTTAAAGGTGTATTCCAACGTTATTTTACAGTATTTGTACTGAAATAACGCTAGTATATTTAATTGTTTTTTTTTAATCTATGTTGAGAAGCCCCCGGTTTCATCTTTGCTGTTTTCATGTTTTTATTTCAAGCAATGAACAGTTAGGTTTAGCTTTGAAAAAGCGTTGTATTATACATAACCTTTAAAATTTATGTGCTGTCTTAACTGACTTGTTTGTCATAAAATTTCGTATTATTTGACGTGGAAATATGAAAGATAGATATATATAGTTTAGATATTGACGCCATATAAAGTTAGTCATTAAACTATGAAGTAGCTAATTTTTACGTTGCTTTCGAGGCCCGATATGTATGCCTAGTGAAGTTTAAAAAAATCATTTTTGTGATAAGATTAGTTAAAAATTTATTTACTCTTGTGCTATTTTCGTATCATAGTCGTGAAATCCACCAGAGTTGTACAGTCTTTATTAAGACGTTATCTCTTGTAAAAAATTAGTTTGATATCTTATTTTGATGGATTTTAAGATACATGACTGTATTTTTAGACGTATGTGTCGTGTCTCTATCTACTTTTAATTTCCAATTTGATGCGTCCTTCGTTTGTAAAACATTTCCAACGACTTTTTATAATAGTGAAGTTAAATAGTGTTGGAAAATACGCGAAACTATTTAAGATAATTAAGAAACAATACTGTCAAATAAATCATTTCTATGGATTTGTTAACCCTCCATTGCACGTTGTAACAAATCTGTCTGTTGCCTAATACACGTACAAATGTTTCAATTCTGTCGTTGAATGCTCTACCAGAAAGAAAGCTTTTTTTTCCGTCGCATTTTTATAATGCGTGATTTAGAGGTTTAATCTGCCATATTTGATTTACACGTCGTTGTGAAGATTTGCTTGCGAATAAACATTCACAAATAATAATAAAACATTATAAAAATAAAATTAAAGATCCGCTTGTTTAATAGAACTTCTGGTATAATAAATGTATAGTTATGGCTTCATCAACTGTTTTTTTTTATATAAGCATGCAGTAACGTAAGCCTACTATTACTGCAAAATAATGCCATAGTACAGATCCAAATTAAAACAAGAGGGAATCCTCAATAACCGTGGCACTTGAAATTCTTTGAGGCAGGATTAGAGTAAATTGATCTGTGATACTTTTGTTTCACTTTTTCATTAGCTATATTTTTGTGCGCCAGCAATACCAAGGGTGGGGCGCGCGTATACCCGATTCGATTTTATTACTCATCAGGATCTCCACCAGCCTTCCCTCAAATTGAAATTCTTTTAGGCAGGATTAGAATAAATTGATCTGTGAGACCTTGGGCGTGGTCAAATACATCCGTCGATAGGGTTTGACCCCCTGAGTCGAAAACTGTAATTATATCTCGAATTGGTCAAGATATGGAAAAGCTGTGAGCTAAGTTTGTACTTGAAAAAAAAAACAACAACTTGGAGCCGTTCTATGAGCCGCTCATCCGCGGCTAAAAAAGTACTTGGAATAAGCTATACCCTACAAGAATTACAAACAAAAATGTTACTTCCCGACCCTGTTGGATCAGCGGCAAGTCTGAAGGTTCATATCCTCCCAAATCAGGTTCGATGCCTTCGATGGGCAGAGCATAGATTACCTATTGTGTAACTCTGTGCCAAATAAACAGAAAAACAACAAAAAAAAATAACTTAATACTATTAGCGGCAGAGAATACATGCATAAATTATTAAAACCTTTAAATGTTCGGTGACGGTCCGTTAGTCTAAGGTCCATTTTTTAACAGTTTAAATGTTAAATTGGTTGTTTGGTTAAATTTGTGATAACAAAAACACCCCAAGATATGATCTAAAAGGTTAGCAGTTCCTCATGAATGGATGGATAATGTTTATCATCATTTCTCCGATGTTATTTTCTTGTATGCATGTATAGTGTTAGCTGCAGAGCCCGCATATTTATACATCAGGATTTGATTTGGTAATCTACCTCTTCTGAGAGAATGGACATTCAAGATTCTCATTCTATAATGCTGTGACAATGAATGTTATATCCCTGACTCAATAAACTTGTTGAAAGTTTCCAGTCAGCAAAATTATCTTGACACCGAGCCATTACAATAAGATGTACACTTCTGTGTCGATTCAAATATTTCTATTGTTTGTATTTAAAACGTCAGGGGTGGCTGATCCCCCCCCCCCAATCCCCGCCATGATGTACTCTTTAAACTTTTCATTTGAGATTGCCTTCATCTATTAAGGACCCACGAATTTGTTTATTCATTCAATTTTAACTTATAATGCGAAAACCAAAAATCTGCGACTATCGGGCTTTCGGAATAATGGGCGGTAACATTATCTTCAAGCGTTCTGTATAAGTGTAGTAAACAGGGGAACCAAAACCCATTTCAATAACGCCACTGTACGATCTATGTTGTTGTTATAAGGCAGCGTTTCCCAAGCCGTAGGTCGCGAGAAACACTTGGTAATGGTGTCTTTTTCACTTTCGTGGTTCTGCAGTTCTTACAAGTACTTTAATTTCCATCTAATTTATTAAAATATTTACAGAAGGAAATAGCTTGATAGAAAGCCATAATTAAGACTATATCTCTCTTACGTTGATCTGAACTTTAAAGCACCGTGATCTTCAAAACAAGCTCAGAGTCTTAATTAGTTTTAGTTAAATGGTTTTGTTTTCAATTGTTTAATATGTTTCAAGAATTACATGTCAATTTCACTGAGTACTAACTGCAAACTGATGACAGTATCAGAGGTTCGCATTTATTGTAAACGTGTTACATACTACGTATTACAGAAACTTTATTTTTGATAAATTCAACAGGTTCACAGTTATATTATTTTACAAAATTTTTATTACTGCATATTCCTCGAGGGGCTCGTGAAGAGAAAAATGTTGGGAGCCGCTGTTGTAAGGTGTAGTAAAACGTATCTTCATAATGGAGGTATCAGAGAGTTATAGCTTAAGGATATATATATATCGTGTAATATAATTCTTTATTTTATATAAAATATCAAATTGTCGGAATAAAAAAATTTAAATGTAAGCTTCTTAACACATCACAATCAAAGGTGTAGTATTCTACCAGTAAGTGTAAACCATTATCACGACTCAACCAAATAGTATTACTGTTAGTATACTTAGGATAAAGCCAACGTAAGGAAATTATTTGGTTCTTTTCCGTATGGTGCGACGCTCGTCTCGCAATCTGCTGGTCGCAGGTTCGAATTCCCGTCTCACCAAACATGCTCGCCCTTTCAGCCGTAGGGCGTTATAAGTACGGTCAATCCCACTATTCGTTGGTAAAAGAGTAGCCCAAGAGTTGGCGGTGGGTGGTGATGACTAACTGCCTTCCCTTTATTCTTACACTGCTGAATTAGGGACGGCTGGCGCAGATAGCCCTCGCGTAGCTTTGCGCCAAATTCAAAAACAACCAACCGTTTGATGCCCACCAACAGATCGTTTTGAAAATAACACCAGTAATGCAATAAAATAATAGAACGTTATATGACATTTATTTAGCGAATTCTGCGATATTAAACAATATGTTTTTGAATAAATATTCATCTTTGTTTCTGTTTCTCCTTATAAATATAAGTTCATAAAGATATAGTCAAGCATTTGGCGAAGAGTTCCGCATTGACGTTTATTACTGTTGGTGTGGACCAAAAGGAAAAGATCCAATTATTTTTATGTATAATAATTCGAAAAATTGTTTCTTTAACATATAACGTATAGAAATGTGTATGATTTCACGTGAAATATATCGAAAACTACGCCTCTTCCTTGATACTCTGGTGTTTGTTGTCATCTTATATTCACCGTAAAATACACCTTAAAAATGGCGACATACACAGTCAGCCACTGTAAGAAGCCTAGTCTTATTTATCGTTTCGATTTTTCCCTTACCCATGGTTGCTGATGAGGAGTAGAATTCTCTGAAACGGGTATAACTCGGCGACAAGTAGTGACTGGAATGATACTTTGGACTTCTTTTGCGTTTACATTTAAGTTTCTCAGGCACTCAGATCCCAGTGGAACTGATGTGATAGTACGTCGTCTGCGTGAAGTAAAAATGCACACCACAGTTGGTAGCACGTGTGCGCAAACACTTTTATCACGTCCACCCCTCTATAAGCATACATTTTGTTGCGGCCCTTCCCCGCACATTGAACAGTCTGTGTATATCCTGTGCTTGTCATTTTCCCATGCTATTTGTTATATCAATATTACTTAATTGTAATAATATTTGTACTTAGGTTTTTAAAACTTTGTATTTTTCAATTTGCACTTTCAACCATAATTTATATGCTCTTATAATCACGACCAAGAGAACCAAACGTTTGTTAGCTTAAAGAATAGATGTGATAAAAACGTGTACTAGTATTGAAAGTATTTTTGCTAAGTTTTATTGGGGGTCAACCTGTAACACATTGAAAAATACCCCACAACCCCGTGACAGTCGTGCAGCAAGATCCTTAACTTTTACCTGTTTTATATGCTACAAAATTACCCGAATATGATTTCTTTTCTAGCGTAAAGAAAGCGACTGGAGTCGCCCTACTTTCGTATATCACGTAGGTGGTCAAGGTTGTGTTTTCGCATATTATTACTCTTCTCAGGAAAGAAAACAGTATTTACTGGTCAGTATTTCAGTTAGGCATTTATCTATCTTCAAGCTAGTTGTACAACATTATTGGCGTAAGGGGGGGGGGGAGCGCCCATTCTTCATTCTATCCCAGTTTAAAAAAAAGCAAAATTAGGAAAATTACTCTCAGGAAAAGTATGAGAATGCATAAAATTTAATCTAGAAAGCAAGGACTTCCAGGATCCTAAAGTGATCAGAAATGGGTACGCCCGTGGCGCACATTTGCTCGCATCGCTCTGTCAAAGAGACCTTGTTCCCCACTTTTAATTTCTCTTACACCTCAGAACATAATTTTGCTTGAATTATGGCATTAATTTTCAGCCAAATATAATGTACCAAAACGTCAATTTCAAAACCCTGAAAACGTAAATTGTATAAGATCATTAAATGACTGCATGGCAGTTTTTTCTTCTAATTCAATACGAATGTGTGTCACTAGAAGATTTATTTGTTTGTTTCGTTAAGAATTTGTCGTACTTAATTTACAATTATAGTTAGTAGTTACATATATAAATGTCTTGGTAATCCTCTAATTCTGAGGCGTGGGGTTTATTTAGTTTTTTATGTTTTTACAAAAGGTTATTATGTACCCTTAAGGAATTACAGTTTTAAACAAACAACTCAATTTCACTAAGAAAATTTTCCCCTGAACAGCTTTTTACTTGTCAGTTTCATCACATTGATGCAAGCTTTTACAACTGCACACACATTAAACTTTTTATCTATTTATACATCCCACTTTCCAACATTGGTTCATAAGTAAGGTTCATTATTTTATGTTCCTTTCATCAACAGGATTGGTAATAAAGCATAATATATCTATTTTTTATTATATTTGTATCATAAAGATTATGTTGAATTGTTGGCTTGCTGAACAAAAATCTTGTTCGATAGATATTATTAGGAATACCACCAAAAGTAACATTAACAGCAAGAGCACCCATTTAATAAAACAGTACATTCTAATCAATATTATAAGTAATAACAGTATATTTAGCCTTCTATACTCAATATTGGGTCAGTTTCTAGTTCTGACGGAAATTAATTAATAGGAAGTTAATTAATAATCGTACATTGCTTGATCTTGTTGTAAAATGTAAACTGTTTCATGTATATAGCTTCACAAAGTGGTTCTTCTGTAACATGGAAATGGTTAAGACTTGAAGAGTGTGAACAGTAATAATAAATTATTTTGAGAGAAGAGTAAGAGCTTATTTCTGTTCTCTCAAATGGTGTTACTAAGATGAGTTCAGTACTGGAATGAAGAATTTTTAGGTAAACTTCTTAATACAAAGTAGGTAATCTAAGAAGAAATATTGTCTTATCATTCTCTGTAGTTGTGTTGCTTTAATGTAAGGAGAAATATTGTTGAATCATTCCCTGTAGTTGTCACTTTAATGTAAGGCGAAATATTGTTGAATCATTCCTTGCAGTTGTGTCACTTTAATGTAAGGAGAAATATTATTCTATCATTCCCTGCAGTTGTGTTGCTTTAATGCAAGGAGAAATATTGTCTTATCATTCCCTGTAGTTGTGTCACTTTAATGTAAGGCGAAATATTGTTGAATCATTCCCTGCAGTTGTGTTGCTTTAATATAAGGAGAAATATTGTCCTATCATTCCCTGCAGTTGTGTTGCTTTAATTTAAGGAGAAATATTGTCCTATCATTCCCTGCAGTTGTGTTGCTTTAATTTAAGGAGAAATATTGTCCTGTCATTCCCTGCAGTTGTGTCACTTTAATAAAGTAGTGTCAGACTAATATTCTCAAGAACCTTATGTTTTAGAAACATTAGTTTAACAACACAGATGACTGCTATTTTTCATTATTGTACTTTCAGAATTACTTAAATAACACCAGGTAACATTTACATTTATTGACCAAAAAATTGTGAAGTTTAAAGAGTATCATTCAGGATACTTTAAAATTTTGTTATTGTGGTAATAGAAGTAACTATTTTTACTTCACTTTTTACTGCTTCTGCAGAATTCTGTCCCATCTAGCTCTTGGATTGGATACATTATTGATGTATCTCTGTCTGTTTCATGTGAATGATAAGCTTCCTTTCGAGTGTTTAACTTGAAAGATAAGATACATGGTTTCATACATTTCTTGTATCTTCAAATTATTCTCCTACATCAGAATGACTACCACAACCCTGTCAAGACGCCTAACAATGCACCTACAAAATGGAGCCATCAAAGAACATTGTGCCCACATCCACAACCAAAAACTTACACGTCAGGACCTAGTACAAAACACCAAAGTAAACCGCCGATTTAACGATTTCACAACTCTTCAAATACACGAAGCAATAAAAATCCTACAGCAAACTCCCATAATCAACAAACAGTCGACAGGAACAGCACGCACACTGCTACTTCTTGGCAAGAAACCACCAAGCCATAATACAACACTAAACCAATTAACGCCTTCCACGAGCTAGATACCACCACCTGCTTACCCATACCTATAAATATCCACCAACAGTAATCACAATTCACACAACATTCAGCCTTGATAATGGATGCAGAATGCATTCGAAACGCGTCGGCCAACTCATCACTAGCTACAACTTTCACCCGTTGTTCTAACAACGTTAAGACAGCTTATCGACTTCTTGAGAAGAATTCTAAGAAGAAAGTAAACCTACAGACATCGGTCTTGTTTAACAAAATCTGCCTACTTATTTGTATAAACCATGAAATCTCTGTGATTTTTCTTAAAAATTATGCTTTATAATCCAGCTATGTCCAACAGTTTTTCATAATCACCATAATTGTGGAGAATGTGTTAAAATTTTTGCCACATGACAAAAAAAAAATTACTGTATTTTTATGGATCTATATAGAGGGGTACAAAAATACACAATAATGTTTTCAATTATTTATTGATAGAATTGATGAGAAATCTGACAAATCTTTTCATTAAGTAGTTCAGGGAAATCAGACATAAAATCAGTTAGACTACATCTTAACTCTGCCTCCAAATTTTCATCCAATATCTGCAACATATATTTTGATTTCACCATTTTTCCCACAGAAAAAGTTGATTCACAAAACCACGTTGAACCAAAAATTGAAAACCGTTTTGGAATAACTGTATTTAGAACCACAAACTCATTTTGATTTAAAATAGGAGTCCACATTGTAACAATTGAATCATCTCTCAAATGTTGAGTGCTTTGAAGTAAAATCACATCCATCTCGAAAAGGCGCCTCTCCAAAGAAAGAAGCCTCACAAGCTCTTTAGATAGTTGAGAATTGTAGATATCAAAGTGAAATGGATTTTGCTTGAATTCAAAAACAATTCTGTATTTTTCAAAATCAGAAAAGAGCTGTTCAAATTTTTGGAGTAAATTCTGCAACCAATCCACATAGTACTTCTTATCAAAATCAGGTTTCTCCAGTATTTTATCCTCAAATAAATAAAAAAGTAGATACTTTTCTAAACTGGTACATGTATAAATTAATTTTATTAAAAATTATATTTAAAGAAATAGGTGGTAGAAGTAAAGCACCAATTCGCCACAGGTCAATAGCCATTTCACTTCATGTGGTGAGTGGTGACCATGTTGGACACCACAGCTTTTTACAGACATTTGATCTCTTCATTAAAATGGTTTGTTCTATCACTTAACATTTTCTATCGTGTTGAATCTTTAAATTTACATTTCCTTGTTCCTAAAATCAGTCTTAGTGAGGTAATTTCAAAACTCAGAAAAAAAAGCAAATTAGAAACTAAGGAAAATTTGAATTACCAAAAAATACAAATCCTAAAATAATATTGTTTTGTGTGACACTAACACGTTTTCATTAGTATTCAAACCATGCATTTAATAATAACCAGTGTCTTCAATCAGTTGTCTTGTAGATAGAGGACTGTACAGTTTCCAAAATGTTAGTAAATAAATAATTATGATCGAATTTAAAATGCCAGATCAGTTAGTATTCATAAGTATATTGAACACTTCATACATTTTAACAGTTGTAGGTGTTTTTCTCCCTAGGATGTATTAAAAAAAAGATGCAACATAAATCGCTTCCTACATTTTAACAGTTGTTGATGTTTTTCTCCCAAGGATGTATTAAAAAAAAGATGCAACGTGAATCACTTCCTACATTTTAACAGTTGCTGATATCTTTTTCCCCCAGATGTCCCAGAAGTTCAGTGATATTTATAACCAGTGTGCAGTTGTTAAACTGTCTCACTAAACACAGAGAGTGTTTGTCACATTTCATTCATGCTGGTTGACTTTACTTAAGGTTTCTATTTAAATAAAAAATGTTATTTCAAACTGGTTATGCTTAACCTTTAAAACAATTTTCAAACCAGGGAAAAATAGAAAAAAAAAAATACAAAAATTGTCCAATTGTTCAAGAAACAAAGTATTCTTAGTATTTTTTTCTGTCATTCTTGTTTAAATAAACATTATTTCTTATGTAATAGTAATTTAGTAATACTTCATTAATTTTGTATGATTATTTTCCCACATTGTTTATTCTGTATAGTAAACATCATATGCTATTGTATAAACATGCTTATGTTGGTAATAATGTTATTGTTCATACTTAATTTGATATTAAGTTAATTTGGAGCTATTAATTTAATAATATGCATCTGTTTCATTGTATTATCAACATCTTATCAAAGTTTTTAGTTGTTTTATGATGTTTCTGAACCTTAGTTTTGAGAACTTTAATGGACTGCAACTGCCTGTTGAGTGAAAAGAGGAAGACGTATTGGCTTCTATACTAAGGCCTCAGTATAGAAACCAATACATTGTACTTTTTTCACTCAACAGGCAGTTGTGATCTATTAAATTTCTCAAACCTACTATGTCTACTCTGCCTAAAGCTCCATTGAAACAACATTTCTGAATCCTTCCTTAATCTGGTTTATTATAACAGTTTATTCCTACAACAAGTCAATAATGATCTTTCAATTCAATCACAATAATAAATTAGAGTAATAAAATGTCACAGTTAAAGAAACTGATACAAGTATTAGATCTTCAAGAAATTAATATCGTGTCTTGGAACACTTTCATTAACCCCCCCAAAAAACATACATCATGTATAATAGTTAAACAAACTGCCTAAACATCACGTTAGTGTAGCCTATATAATGTTTAAAGTTTAGTATACTCTAATTTTTTATAATGATGGCAAACAACGAGACACACATTTGGCATGTAATGCTGTTTGAATAAAAGAAGGGAAACAATGCCTCTGTAGCCACAAAGAATATCAAAGAAGTTCATGGAAATGTTTTGAATGTTCGTAAGTGCCAACGATGGTTCAGCAAATTACATTCAGGTGACTTTAGCCTTAATAACTGTAATGGCAGGGGCCGACATGTTGGAATTGATATTGATGCTCTGAAGACACTTGTTGAATCTAACTCAAGTCAACATACTCGTTAAATGGCCCTGAAATTGCATGTCTTTCATGAAACAATATGTAAACATCTAAGGAATATGTGAAAACTCCATAAAAAAGGTGTTTGGGTGCCTCACGAACTCTCCAATTATCATTGTTTCCAACGTGTGAACGTTGCTTCGACTCTTCTGGCTCGTAATGCACGTGAACCATTTTTGGACAGAATTGCCACTGGTGGTGAAAAATGGATTCTCTATACGAATATTTAAAGCCAAAAACACTGGCTTAGTCCTAGACAAAAACCACTTCCGACCCCAAAACCTGGACTCCATCCGCAATAAGTGATGCTTTGCATTTGGTGGGACATCAAAGGAGTAATTCATTTCAAACTCCTCAATCCACAGCAAACTATCAATGCAGAGATCTATATTCAGCAACTTGAACATTTAAATCAAGCCTTTCATCAGAAATGCCCTTCACTCGTCAAGTCAATCGGAAAGATGTTCTTCTTCTCCACGATAATACACATCCACATATGGCACGTTTGATTCAACACAAGATTATGGAGTTTGGCTGGGAAGTTCCCCCCCCACCCATCATGTTCTCCAGATAAGGCACCATCAGATTGTCATATTTTTCATTCCCTGCAACACCATTTTAATTGGAAAATGTATGCAAATGTGGAAGGTGTTAAAGAGGACATTGACATGTTTTTTGCTTCAAAGCCAAGCAATTTCTTTAATCAGAGCATTAACAACCTGATTGTAAGATGGAAAAGCATGATAATAATGGAGACTATTTCATTTAATAAATGTTTTGTGTGGATATACAAGTTGTTCAGGTTTTTTCATCTAAAAAAAAAGTGACATTAATTCCTTGATGACCTAATATTAACAACCTTATAACACCAAATTTTCTTTTCATTAGGAGTATTCCACTAAAACACAAACCATAACTGACAGTACAGAGCTCCAGTTGGTTTAAATAACCCAGTTTATTGTTTATTTAAACCAATTGAAGCAACTTCATGTCAGTTACAGAATGTGCTTTAGTGGAACTTCCTGAAGAAGCTGTAAAGCAAAAAATTCAACGTCCAATTAAAGAAGAAAAAATAAATTTGGTGTTATAAGGTTGCTTATTACCAGTATCAAGATCTTTTTTATACACCAACATGCACTACAGAAATTAAATAAAGAAACAATGTTGTTTAAGGAAAGTATCCATTGAGCACAGATGGAAGCTCTTTGGTTATTGGGCTTGTACAAGTTTATACTTTGATTTTTATATTCAGTATTTTTTGGTATTCTGAGCAGAGTTAAAATATAATGTATTTTAGTAAAATAGACAGAGTTTTATTTTTATGGAATTGGAATTTTTGTCTTTGTAATAGAAAGGCAATTCTGTATAAAAACAAATTTCGTTTTAATGTAATAGGTAGTTATAAAGACTTAACTGGGATAAAACTCTTTCTAAAATCTATATTTATATTTAATATAGATGAATTTGTTATGACATACCTGTATTTAATTTCTATGTGTGCACTTGTATTGTGGTTTATTAATTAAATTGTAAATTTAGAAGATAATCCAAAATACCATATGCAAGGTTTTTATGATGTTGCTTGGCATCTTCAAACATCAATTAAAATGAGTAATAATTTTGGGTAGATATACCAATAAGATTATGAAAAATGCAGATCTTTGGCCACTCGAAGTGGTCACCAGTGGACACTGTGGCCACCATTCACATCAAGAGATGGTCTGCATCTCTGGGATGGCATGATTGACAGCTGAACAAAGCAGTCCAATATGTTTATATGTTGTTTAATGTCATCTGCCAAGTCCTTCAGCAGAGCTGAAACTCCATGATATATAACTGACTTTAGGTATCCTCATAGCAAAAAACCAGCTGGGCCATCTGACCGTAGTTGTGATGAGTATTTGACAAGTTTGTGTTCCACATGATGTTATTGCTATATCCACCAACAATTATTGCTCTGTGATCAATAATATTTATTTCATTGATGCTTGAACAGCCAAAGAAACAATAAGAACCCTTTATAACTATATAACTCAGCAAGCTCTGATGTCACTAAAATATCATTTAATGACTTCTTTCATGAAAATAAAGTTTTTTATTATATGATAGATTAATAAATGTATATGAACCAGGAGTATTTTTGTGTAATGGATTAACATTTGATATGTGAAAAATATAATTTTGATCTACTTCAAGAAGAGTATGATGGTTGGGTAGTTGAGTATTGAAAAAAGATTATCTAGTGGATTAACCCTTTACCTCAGTTGGTAAAATCGTTTATTTCTTAGAGTTTCAATTTCTGAAAGGTGTGTATGATGAAGCTCTTTGTAATCATTGTAATTGTGTGCCTCAAACTATGTGGTATTATTAACTGTTACAAACCACCAGAGATTTTGTGGTGACTATTACTATAACTTATTAACCATTAAACCAAGGTAAACCAACAGCTGATCAGTTTCAGGAAAGTTTTATATATAACAGGCAATTTCTTTCACTTCAGTTACTTTTTTATTTTTTAGAAATTGTGTATTTCTGTCTTTTTAAGGATATGTCAAACATGTACAATTTACTAAATTTATTAGTTAGTTTGTAACCTAAACATTGTATGTTTAATGATATGCGGAACATTTAAAGGTTACTGAATTATTTGTTTTTTAGTTAGTTTGTAACCTAAACATTGTATGTTTAATGGTATGCGGAACATTTAAAGGTTACTGAATTATTTGTTTTTTAGTTAGTTTGTAACCTATACATTGTATGTGGAAATGTTTCTACTTTATCCATTTTCTGATTTTTATCCTTTTTTTTTGTTTCAAAAGGTATAGAAGAAAGTAGACTTTGAAGATGGCAACTCTTTCAATAAAAATAAATGTTGTAGAGAAAAATGTAATAAAAACAATGAAATTTAAACCATCTGTGCTAGTTTATGATGCATGCCGAACCATACGAGAAAAAATATCTGAAGCCAACTTGGGAGAATGTAAGTTGAAATTTTTGCTTCACATTTGTTTTGAGAGAGTAAAGTCTTAAGGATTTTAATATGTTAATGTTTTTTAAAATTTTGATTTAAAAAATTGTTAGTAAATTTCTCTATGTGATTAAATAGCCAGGTATGAGATATTAATTTTTTCCATTTTGTAACACAGTCACTTTTCACTTTATCAGTAGAGTAAACAGAAAAACACCTGACAAATAATACTGGAGAATTTTAATTTTGTTTACTTCAGAAAACATTCTTCAGCACTGCTTTAATCATGTGTTACAAAATTTCTTTTCAAAGTAACATCTACTCTGTGTATATATGTATGTCACTCGTAGTTAAAATTAACACTGATGTTATCAGTAGGTTTATCAAGTTAAAATGTACAAAAAAGCGACTTTACAATTGCAAAACTTATAAAGACTTTCATTAACTTGTAATATTTGACAGTAAAGATCATATGTTAACTAACAGCTTTAGAAACAGATGGAGCCATCAAGATAATAGAAGATTTATAGACAAAGTATTATTACAGTAGGTTTTAAACAATGAAGAAATAAGAATGTACAGTTTATTAATTATACATAGTCATTTAATTATTATCAATATGGGATTTTATTTCGGAATGCATTTGTATTAAGCATGATAAACTGAGTGATCTCTGGAGTTTATGGTGACCACACTTAGTGGTGCTGTAATAGTTGTTTTTTTATTTGAATAACTTAAGACATTTCATGTTTGTATACTTTCATTATTTTAATTTTAACAATTTCTGAGCATTTAAATATTGTCTAAAAGGAATTGAACTAGACTGTTCGTAAGGCCCAAAATATTTAATACTGCACAACTTTATATAAATTTTTAGTTTAATTGGATTACTTTTGTACTGTCAGACTTAGCTAGATTTTTATATTGTGTTCACCTTACCCAAACTTATCCTTTTTGTTTTTAGATTCACACACACACAGAGATATATTTATACACTTAGACAGGCAAACAAATGCATATTATCTTCATTGCAAATTTGTAATCATGGGGATTCTGAAAAGTTACTTTACAATTAATCACTGAAAGTAAAAAAAATTACTAATTATTTATTCTTTCATGTAGCAAAAGATTATGGATTGTTCTTGGCTGATGAGGACCCAAGGAAAGGAGTGTGGCTGGAATCTGGAAGATCCTTGGAACACTATCTTCTTCGAGATGGGGTAAGAGTGTGGGTTAGAATTGCTTATCTTCTTTGTAAGATCTTAGGATATACTGGGGTAAAAAATAATACTTTGGAACCTTTTATTCCTGTTTTTCATTAAAATTTAAAAAATGTGAAAATTGGGAACTTTCTTCGATTTCTTTTAACATTGAAATGTATCATTGCTGATTCATCCTCAAAACATATAAAGTTCATTAATGTAATGTGGTCAAATTTTTTTACCAGTCATGAAAGTTTTACTGGAAATTTACCAGTTGTTTTTGCATTATTTAGATAATTGTTTCTAAAATAATGAATTGACTTTTTCATAACTTTTAATATTTTTAAGGTTTTGTGATTATATATTAAATATAAAATATTTATATTTAATATTCAATATTAAATATCCAATTTTAGAGGGCTTTATATTCAGATGTCAATCATTTTCTTACATCAAATTGTTTTTTTAATTAAACGTCTTTAAGAAAATTGTATTTTGCATTAGTTATGCATAAGTGACACAAGTCATAAACTTTCATGTGTTTAATGAAAATTTCACTCTTCATCCTTCCATAATTTCAAGCATCACATTTTGTTTGTTTCTAGTCATTTTTATAACTTTGGTTTGTGGTGATTAGCTATTTCTTCCTTTTTTGCTTCAAAGGATCTATTAGAATATAGGAAAAAGACAAGGACTTTGCGTGTGAGAATGTTGGATGAATCAGTGAAGACTCTGAGAGTCGATGACAGTCAGCCTGTAGCAAATCTCATGGTTGTCATTTGTACAAAAATAGGTTGGTAAGGTTCTGATGAAAATATGGAAAACAATATCAGTTAGTAACACTAATATTCTCATGTTAAGTTTATAAATTTATTTAATACATAAACTATTTCATATTATGAACATGAATAATCACTTATTTGTTTGCATGTACATTGATTTCTAAAATTATTTTCTGAAACTTCTCTTCCTTAGAAAAATATTAAATATTTTTTTCTTTTTTTATGCATCTACACCATGGATATCATTTTGCATACTTCTTTTGTTGATGTATTGGAATTTCCAAATCAGCATAAGAAAAGAAAAACTGATAATTAAAGATTTATTCATTAAATAATAGAAAACTGATGTTTTAATGGATGATGTATTATTCTTTTTAAAAAATGGAGCCAAATGCATTTTAATTAGCAGTATTTAATCTGAAATGTTTTATCCAAATGTTAGTAAAATTTATATGGTGATGTTTACTATGTAAACTTAATAACTTTAAAAAAAAGTTAATATTTCAATATTTTAAAACTTTTTTTTATTTAAGATCTGTACTATAAAACTATTTTACCCTTGCTATCAAATATTACTTGGATGCAAACAAGGTGGTACCATTCTTCTCCACTCCTTGCATCTATTCTGTTCTATCAAGTCCTATAAGTTTTCTTTTTGAGTTATTTTTAGTTTATGATTAAACTATACAGAAATCTAAGTTTTTAGGTATGATTTATGATAATTTATTATTGTTATTGACTGCTGGTTGCTTTTATTTTTTAGTAAGTTATGAGCATCTCATTATCTGACAAAATTTATGTCTCCTGCATTACTGCAGTTATCAACAGCAAAGCTCAGTTGTTTGTTTGTAAAGTAAAGTGCAAAAAAATTAAACAAATGATGAGTTTTTATTCTAATTCTGAAATACCTTAACTAATATGAAATCTACTCTAGATATTTGATGACGAGGAACCCACTTTTTAGAAAAGAAAGTTTGGAGACTGCTTGAATGGGTATTCTGTGAAAATTGATGAAGGAAAAAAACTAGTATTTCCATTTTTTCATTGTAACATTTCTTTACCAGATGATAGAACTGATCTGTGTTTTGTTAAACCTTTTTCATTTCTGCATCTGACTAATATGCCAAGTTCTTTCTAATGCACTAAATTGAATGTAAATATCAATCTGAAAATCACTTTTATGAGTGTCATTTTGCCATTTGACCTGCATATGGCCTAGTGCTTTGTGGGCCATGTCCCTTTACTGAACAAAACTTTGTACTGCACACTTTGGGGTTCTGTGAGTGTTATTAGAGTAACAATAAGTCTCATTATTTGATTAGAATAGCCTAAAACTTGGGATGAGTGCTGTTGACTAGCTGCATTCCCTCTAGTTTGTCATTTCAAAATTAGGTATGGTTAATGCAGATGGTCCTTGCATAGCATTGTTCAAAATTCATCAAACAAGCTTCCAAATCAAACAAGTACTTTTTAGTTCTGCCTATCAGAACACAGTCAGAAAGAAATGAAAGCACAAGAATTAATGCAGTGTTTCTGTTAAAATGATCAGCCAAATGAAATTCTTTTAATTTGCTTTTAATGCTGCTTATTGCATGTTTTAGTTGGGTTTAAAGCTGCATGTGTGTTTATTTCTTCAAATATTGTATTCACTTCTATTAATCACAAAGGACTTTGATTGGAAAATTCCACAGGAATCACAAACCATGATGAGTTTTCACTCGTGAGAGAGTTGGCCGAGGAGCCAGTCAAAGATGCCTCCACCACAGGTACACTAACCCTCAGAAGGGTAAGTTATTCGACTAATTTTGGAAGTAAGAAACATTCTTGCTGTGATTAACTTTTGCAGATCTTCTTTAGTAATATTGGCTGTGCTGGTGTGGTCCACATATAGCATCATATTGGCTCTGCTGGTGTGGTCCACATATAGCATCATATTGAGTAATTTTGTGTTTTTCACATTAGAGCATTCAGTGTAAAGAAATGATAAAAAAAAAAAAAACTGGGGAAAAATCACTCATTTTCTATGTATAATTTATATAAATCCTAGCAGTAATTAGTGAGATTAATTATAGTATTGATGGTATTTTTATTTATAGAAATCCCAGCAGTAAGTAGTGAGATTAATTACAGTATTGATGGTATTTTTATTTATAGAAATCCCAGCAGTATGTAGTGAGATTAATTACAGTATTGATGGTATTTTTATTTATAGAAATCCCAGCAGTAATTAATGAGATTAATTACAGTATTGATGGTATTTTTGTTTATAGAAATCCCAGCAGTAAGTAATGAGATTAATTACAGTATTGATGGTATTTTTATTTATAGAAATCCCAGCAGTAAGTAGTGAGATTAATTACAGTATTGATGGTATTTTTGTTTATAGAAATCCCAGCAGTAATTAGTGAGATTAATTACAGTATTGATGGTATTTTTGTTTATAGAAATTCCAGCAGTAATTAATGAGATTAATTACAGTATTGATGGTATTTTTGTTTATAGAAATCCCAGCAGTAATTAATGAGATTAATTACAGTATTGATGGTATTTTTATTTATAGAAATCCCAGCAGTAATTAGTGAGATTAATTACAGTATTGATGGTATTTTTATTTATAGAAATCCCAGCAGTAATTAGTGAGATTAATTACAATATTGATGATATTTTTGTTGGTTTAAATTTAGTTTTGTGACTTGTAATTTATTATGGAACCTGTAAATATGTAATCCATGCACCCACAAACAATTTGGTGCACAAATATTTTATAAAAATGTGTTTGAAAAGTTAGCTTTGTACATATAACAACCCGTGATTGTAGGGTTCAAAATGTTGTGTCGCATATGAGAGATGGGCTTGTTTTTTAAGTCCAAATGTGAATAATAGTAAATATTAAAATATATATACCTAGCAGGGGTAATAAGTGTTGGTGTGAAAATGGTGATGTGACTTAAAGTAAAATTTTGAAATATAAATTGCTTGAGAAATAATCCTTTTTTCATTAGGAAAAAAAGGATAAAGACAGAGACCAGAAAATGGAACAGTTGAAAAAGAAGCTAAAAACTGATGATGATTGTAAGTCTAGACAAATACTTAGAGCTTATTGTTTCAATAGATTAGGACTGAAATGTGTAGATTTATATTTATGTAAAATACTATCATAATATTGCTTGTGGTTTTTTTTCTATTGTATGTTTTTGTTTATATACTGTTTTTATTTATTTTTGTCTTGTCTGTATGGTTATCAGTTCCATCCTGGAGTATCCTGGATTTCAGATTGGCCGGATGTCCAGTTTCTCTACTGCACTCATATGTGGCTTTTCCTCAGCACAGGGGTATAAGCCATATAAACCACCAATGAACATAGATGTTTTATTCTTGAAGTTCAAACTCAGTGATGTCATTTGCTCCTGATTTAGGCTTTTACAGAAATAACATATTTTTGTCCAACACATTTTTCTTTCACTGCATTCAATGTGTTCTTTTCTTTGTCATTCAACTGTTGTTGCTCAATTTATTAAAGTTATCTCTGTGGTTCTTAAGTAGCCATTAAAGTATACATCCTTTGTCTAGCTTTATGGCTATTTCTGAGGAACACTGTGTCCAACCTGTATATTTTTATATTTTGTGTATTCACTAACCTGCTATTATTTTCACTTAAGTTCACATGGCCCGGCATAGCCAGGTGGTTAGGGTGCTTGACTCACAATCTGATGGTTGCGGGTTCAAATCCCCGTCCCACCAAACGTGCTGACCCTTTCAGCCATATGGGGCATTATAAAGTGATGGTCAATCCCACTATTTGTAGGCCAAGAGTTGACTATAGTAGTGATGACTAGCTGCCTTCCCTCTAGTCTTTCACTGCTAAATTAGGGATGGCTAGCACAGATAGCCTTCATGTAGTTTTGTGTGAAATTTAAAACAAAACAAGTTTATATACACATGGTAATAATTTTTAAACCACACCTAAATCTTTCAATCCAAAGACTAAAGTTTAAACTTTTTGCCTCGTGATCTTTCATTTCTTGATATATAGGTGATTGATGGTTGATGTATTAATTTCTGATGGTATAGATGGTTGATATGTTCACTTCTGATGGTATAGATGGTTGATATGTTCACTTTTGATGGTAGAGATGGTTGATATATTCTCTTCTGATGGTATAGTATTCTGTTTATTAAACTGATCAGCATTTCCAGTTTGCCCCTGAAGAAGAAAGGTCCATCTTTCGAAAGTGTTTGGGTTATAGGGTTTTTATTCATTTCTATCAAGACTTCTTAAACCTACGCGTTTTTCTAACATCATGACTGTTTATTAAGCTGATGTTTCCATCTAACTTTGCAGCACTGGTGCAAAGATTATCAGTAACTTCTCTTTCTTGTATATTTGGTTTGTTAACACTTATGTATATACACTTTGTTCCTTGCCAAGTTTCTTCTGACCAGACACTTTTGTTAATGCCTTCCTTGGTGGCAACTACCAAAATACCATTGAAAAGATTTTTAAAATGAGAGTATAGAAAATTACACATCTCATTATTTTACCTTACCTTCATCTTGGTTACTTCATCTATCATCTCTGTGATGGTTACCCAGCTCTATCTACACTGACCTCTGTAGTGGTTACTCAGCTCTATTTACACTGACCTCTGTAGTAGTTACCCAGCTATATCTACATTGTCCTCTGTGGTTATTACCCAGCTCTATCTACACTGACCTCTGTGGTGGCCCCATTTCAAACTGCTCATTAAGTATTTTTATAATCAGTGCTAAATACTTATGATTTATGTATGGGTATGTACATGTACATGATATACCTACAAGTAACAGAAATGAATAAAAGAACTAGAATGATTTATAAAAAAGGTAATGGCAAACAATTTTATTCAAAATGTATATAAGACAATGGAGTACAGTACTGTAATAAGAAGCAGTAAATGCAATAGTACATCCATTTTTATTCTGTATTCGAAAGTAGGCCCCCCTCAAAATCGTAGGCCCATGCCAACTGCCCCCCCCCCCAAAGATGTTCTGGCCTGCCTCTGTGGTGGTTACCCAGCTCCATCTAACTAAACTGACCTTTGTGGTTACCCAGCTCTGCCAACACTGGCTTGCCAAGATAAATTGTTATTTTTAACTGCTGTTTATTTTTTATCTCATTGTGTTTGCCTTGGTGAGGTTTAGTGGTACTTAATGCCAACTTGAGGAATTGGTAACTATTAGTTGATGTATTTCACTATTTTTCCAAGTGGATTAGACTTAACTATACTGACTTTCCACACTCAAAGTTTGTGTATTTTTATCACATGACTGTCTTAGTGGCACTTTTTGTGTCACCTCTTCTTGAGGAAGGATACGAATCTTGGTAAGAATTTCTTCAGTAGTTGAGATGGCTCTTCATATTGGGACTTTGAGGGAATCTTTAGTGATCCAATCCATTCCTAGTGCGGAGCCTTCGTTATCTTGTTTCCAGTTTCGTTTCCTGGTTAGCTTTGTTCTACTTCTCCAGGATTGACATATGTAGGGATTTTGGCTAATTTTTATAACACAATTAAGATCCCTATGTTTAAAATTCACATTTTTGTTTTAAAATGAGATTTGAAAAGATACTCAACTCTACCATATGGATCACAGTTTCCTCCACTCACCAGATAGAATTAAGAGGAAATGACCAAATGTGGTTGGATATGAACATGAACACAAGAAATTCACATGCCTGAACCTGTTTTGACTAGAGCTCTCTCTGTAGAGAGGTGACTGTCACATAATATTTTCACATGAACAAGAATTTGTAGTTATCTCCTCTAAAGAGAAGGACATAACGAGGTCAACAAAATAGCTGCTAAAATTTGTATTGTCACAGAACAGTCGGGAGCTATAAGTTATGGTAAATACATATTTCCATTTAGTTTCCCAAAAAAATGTGAAAGTTACAAAAGTGGGAATTTTTTAGTTAAGATGTGAAATAAGTTAAATTGGCAACTTTCTAATCTTGTATGTCATTTAATATGTTTGTATAGAAGAAAGAGGAAATGTTTAGTCAGGATCTTTGTTACAAAAGTTTGGAAAACAGAGTATTCTTACTTATGGTCTTTTTATCGAAATATTTATCAATAATTCTTCTTCCAAAGCCATAAAATGAAGTATGATTTCAACAATTGCAAAAATGTTAGTGCAGATTACATTAATGAGAAAGAAAGATAAAATGTAGTTAGATATTTAGAGTACTTTGTGAATATTACTTACCATTGAATATATATATTTTGACATAATTATCTGTCTTAAG